ATATATATATATATATATATATATATATATATATATATATATATATATATAAATGTATTAAAATTATATTAAATGAAATATATAAGAGAAACATAGAGTCATAAACTATAGCAGAAACTTTACAACTTCTTTATTATCTATATTAAGGCATTCTACATTCATCGTTTAACTATTTCAGATAGTTTTACGTGTGCTCTCTCCATTACAATAAAATATAATTTTTTTTTGTACGTTTGCTATATTTTTAATTATTTGATCTGTTGAAGTGTATATATTTTAAACTGTATGTATCTTTTAAATTGATTCAATAGCATTTTACGATAACTTGAAAATCACATATAGAAAATATGCTGTAATAGAATCTTTTGTACATATATTTGCGTGTAATTTAAGCAACTTATTATTTGCATATATTATCTCATATCGGAATAAATCATTATGAGTGCACAGATATATCAAAAGAATTTAAAGAATATTGTGGCACATTTTGTTTGTAAATAATTTATTGTCATATGGAAGCTATGTGTAAAGTAATAGCAAAAATAAAAACGTTAATGTATCTAAAGTTTATGATAAAGTTCAATTCCACTCTTAAGCAAGCAAATATTTTATCTAAAATTGAAAACAAGAAACATATATTTTATGTATACAAATATTGTATATATGCATACACTGCGAGAAAGTTTTCTTAATTTGATAGCTTGATAATTTTTTTTCCATATTATAGATTATTATAAAAAAGACACGCTATGCACAACATAGATATCCTCTCTCTCTCTTGTCATTTTTTGTGCTTATCATATATCCTAAGTTGTACAAAAAGTACATATTTTTGAAACGATATAAATGCAGTTATATTGTTTCAAGAATAGTAATATCGAAATAATATCTTTTTGTATCTTTTGAAAGTATAGGGCATCTATTTTATCTGTATAATGAATTTTTATAATACAAAAATACGAACAATTCCGTTGATTACAATTAAATCGTTTATCAGCTAGTATTAATGTTAGTCCACTCGCCTGTTTCTTTGAGAGCTCTATCTCTTAATCTTTCTATCTCGGTTAGAAGCTGTTCAGTTTCTATATCGACACATACCATATCTGGTTCCACTGGATCCCACTCTAAACTATTCGGGCTTGAAACTCTGGACCAAGGAGATGATGTCAAGCTAGATGGTTGACTATTATTAACTGATGTCTGTGTTAAAGAATTCTCTGTATTTTCTTTCCTATTATTCAGTATTGGTAGAGGCAT